AAAATTCGTCCCTACCGAAAAAACATTTTAGTTATTTGGTACACCATTTAGATGAAATTAGATGGAAATATAGGGGAGACTGGGGCACCTTCGGCTCTTTTTTTTAAGAGCTCTATATCTCAGTACTTATTCAGCATATATAAAAACTTTATGGTTGATTATTGTCCTCTGATATTTAATTATACAAACTAGTACCAAAAACATATAATAAATTACTATTAGTTAAACATTTTTACAGTTTTGTAAAAAAGTCAAATTCGCCGAATATGCCCCTACCCGGGGTAGCTTCGACATTTGATGGGGCACTTTCGGCACCGTAGTCATAGCCTGGTAATTATCACCGCTATCAGTGTGTTGAAATTCATGTCCTCTAAATGTTCAATTTTGTTTTAATATCTTAATGTTTGACTTTTAAGGCTGCATTTTCTAGCGACGGACGTTGACATCTCAAGGCGACACAAACCAACAGAAATAATTTTTTTCTATCGCATTTTCGTCAATGCAAGCACGTTTGGCCTTACATATGTTATTTCGACCTTATTAAAATATTATTTTTAAAGACAAACTCAAAAACATTTTAAGGAAGTAATATTGCATTTTCTTTATGGCCGAATGTGCCCCACTTTAAAATGCGGAATCTACCCCGAATGTACTTTTTATAGTTTTTTTAATTTTTTTTCTATCAATCTTCTAAAAACATTATATTTTTAATTATTTTTATAGGAATGCCCATTGTTGTTTACTACTTTTTAATAACCCCGCCTTAAAATTTGAAAAGTTTTATACACGAAATACTTACGAAGTGGAATGGAAATATTACAAAAAGTATCTGTAAAAATACAAACATCGGTGTATCTAAATAAGTTTACTAGCTAGAAATTTCAAACTTTGCGATTGTTACTTATTTTGATATTCGATATCTATGTAACGAAGCTAATGATATAAAGTGAGAACTTCATATTGAAAACGGGATTGCCGAAGGTGCCCCGATGCCGAAGGTGCCCCAGTCCGCCTATACACCATTAAAAATAAAAGTATAACTCCTCCATTCGATTACATACACCAATATAATTGACATCAATTTAACGATCAGTCACCCTTCTTGGATATGCTGTTAAATTAAATAAATTCGCAAATAAATTTCAAGCAATTCCATGTTTTGACGTATCCCCTATATAAGACCTCCGCCTCCAATGACTGTAGACGCGTTTTATAACCATTGAAATTTCAGATTTCTGATAAATAACAAAAGGTTTCCACAAATTTTTCAATTCAATTTCCGAAATATGTAACAATATTGATAAATTTTAGTAGAGAGATTTTCTACTCAATGAAAATGCAAAATATAAAAAAGTGGCCAATTTGGTTGAAATACAAAATTTAGGATATAGCTTTATTGGAATATCCTAAACCGGGGACAAATAATTTTTGGTAGAAAGATGTTCTACTCTGTGAAAACACAAAACACCAAATTACAGCTGATTAAGTTGGAGAACGTGCCCAAAAGTCTCAAAATACCGAATATTTGGGTATGCCGTTATATGGGAGATTCTCCGAAACATTGACCTATATTGAAAATATTGGACCTATATTGAAATTGACAGTAAAACCCTCAAAAATACCAAATCACCCCAAAATACCGACTATTGGGAGTTACCGTTATATGGGGGCTACACCAAAACATTTTCAATACCAAACATCCTAGACAGACAAATAGACAGTTCTAAATTGATATCGAATTATATATTTTGATCAAGATTATATTCATTATGGGGTCTCAGGTGAATGTTTTGAGGTGTTGCAAACGAAATGAAATTAATATGCACTCCACCTTGTGGTGTAGGGTATAAAAACCGTTTTTTTAGAAGTTTTCAAATTTATCCTGTTTTATCTCAGAAAACACTTATTATACTAGTTCTCTATTTGGACTATTTGAATTATATTTTTGAATGAAGATGCCACTTATTTTATATACAACCAGCGGAACCAATATGTGCGGCCCATACTAAAAATGAGTCCATATCGAATATAAGCAACGAAGTTTATTACCCAATGGGAATCAAAATGGACAAAATCAGACTTTGGCAAAATGTGTACACCCACCAAAGTTTAGGAATTTCATTAACCATTAATAAAATATAACAATGTGCCACAAATTTTAATAATATCAGGGAGAACCCCGATATCTAAATATCAGATCTGGTTAGCCAATATTTAGACGTAATTGGCACGAGTAATATACTAAAAATACCATAAAAAATATAACAAGTCAGCTGCCCATATATGATAGCTGCATGAAAAGAAGATATATAATAAGAATATATAGGAGAATATTATTGAAGAGGTCAGGATTGAATTTATTTAAAACTGAAGGGATAATCTATTAGATTCAAAAGCGATTACAAAATTTGTCGTCAGAAGTCATCTATTCCCCTATCGGCATGTGATGATTTTAGATATCAAAATTATTTATTTTCCATTAAAATGATATCCATGAAATATTTAGAAAACTCGTTTTTAGTATAATTGTAATTATTCTTTTCATACAGATTTTTGTTAATGCGAAAATAATGAAGAAATTATTGTTGGCACAAATATTTTGGCGAAACACTATTGTGTTCGGCTTTCAATTGTGGCCTATAGATCGACTCAAAAAACACCAAAAATGTAAGTTTTCAGTCTAATTCATCCTAAAATTAGTATCTGATCATCGCCGAAAATTATAGCCGTAGTAGTTGACCATACCTGGATCCTCATGGAAAATTTAAAAGAGATCAGCGCTATATTTCTGCATCCTAGTGTGGTAATGGGTTACTGAATACTATATCAATACGTAAGCACCTGTAAATAGTTAAGTGTATCTCCCACATCCGAGTACATAAAGGCCAACCACTCCTCTTGGATATAATATCAACATCTCGGGTCGATGTCCTTCAAGAGTAAACATATACGCCATAGAATACAAATTTTGTCATTTTTCACACAAAACTCGAGGTCCATTAACAACAGATCTTTATCAAAACATGCATGCTTATTCTCTGCCCCGATCCGCTTCTCCTTGCAAAAAGTCGCGGTGTTTGGGCCATAATTGCGGCGTCTGGAGCGACCTGAAAAACCGACAAAAATAAAGTTTTTGGTCAATTTCATCCCCTAAATATTAACCGATCTTTTCCAAAAACAATAGGGGTCTTCATTGGCCAGAACCCATCCTACATGCAAAATTTCATGAAGATTGGTCCATAACTGTGGCCTGTATCGTGTTTACAAATTATAATGGACAGACGGACGGACGGACACACATGTCTAGATCGACTCAGCTAGTCGAGAAATGACTATCTGTATACCTAATGGTGGGTCTAGGATCAATATTTCGCGGCGTTACAATCTTTTGGGGCTGCACAAAGCTATAATACCCTGACAACATAGTTGTGTAGGGTATAAATATATATTTCCATCCATTAGCCTAACAAATCTAGACACATCACTGAACATCTGTATGCACATAGCATATACGCAAAAGAGGAAATTCATCAGACACATTGAGAAAAACTGCAAATCCTAGAATGAATGAAGAATCCTCCCATTCACAAAAAAGACCTCCTCAACTTCAACTCGAATGTCTGGCAATGCTAGCCGGCGTCAGTCGACGATATGGCGACAGTGATGATATATTCCTTGGCAAGTACAAAATTGCATGTTTACTACAAATAGCTCGTGTACGTCACTTTGTTGCTGCGGCTGCAATTGTTTTTCTTTGTCTAATAATTTGAAGCAAATTTTAAATTGCATGCGGTCTATAAATTTAAGAGTTTCATAACTGCACCGACAAGAAAAATGTTTGCAAAGGAAATGGCCTATTAGTGTAACGAACAGAGTGTGTGTGTGTCAGTCTCCGTTGAAGCAAGGTGTGACATTGTACATTTGTACAAGTCTATTCGTTTGTTTAAATTAACCTTGAGCCAATTACTGAACGACATTTGTTGACTGATGCCAGTCAAGGGTGTAGAAAAATTAAACCGATTATTCGATTATTAAAAGTTAAAGGATTTAAATGTTGGTAAATTTGTATAAAAACATTTGTGAGACACGCCGTATTGCACACCGTGCAACCGAGCAGTCATGGTGGCCCTTTGACGTTTAGAAGGTCTACGTCAACCATGCCAAATTGTTTGAGGACATAGAGAATAGCACTCTTCGGCCGTCTTCGAATAATCAACAGAAACAGAAAATCGAAAATCCGTAGTTTGGAACAGTATATTCCTCAAGGTGGGGTAATTGTTCCAGAAACTGTTCAACCTCTACCCATCTGAATTCCGAATTCCCTATGGACGCACCCTCTACAGGTTACAAGCTTCCTTCATAATTCAATCACAACCAAAATAATCTTGATTTACTACTTGATTCTTTACAAAATATATTAGATTATTCGGTTACATTAAATATATCACATCCCTAGAAAATATATTTTTACTCTCATGATTCTTAAATAAGATGTAATTTTATTAAAGTGTTTCTTCGTTTATTTGTTGGTGATTTTTACCTCTTTCTCTTTCAATTCTATTTCTAGCATAAATGAGATGTTGCCAACGGGGTGAGTTTACACATCCACATGTAGCGGAGGTGACATACGACAACATTTCAACGTGACATAGTGGCATTTTATAGCGCCGCCAAATCAACACGACGGCTGCACTGCCAAGGAACAGACATTGGAACAGTGTCACTGTCACAATGGAACACAAACAGATGCCTAACTAAGTGAGCCCCCAACTAAATGAATTTGTTTCCCATTTAAAATTAGCATCGCCACTAAGTGAATAACAAACAAAAAAACATCAACCGCAAAAAAAACAAAACAAACCAAAGCCAAAGATTTGTTCAAAACAGAACATGCCCATGCCCATCATCATCATCCTCCTCCTTCTTGTCAGTAGAAAAATCACTTTGTGTGTCTCCGGCGTCGTTTGTGTGTAAAGATTAAATGAGGGATTTGCAACGATATGATAGCCCCTGGAATACAACAACCGGATATGCTAGGTGTCACCGCGAAGCCTAACGAATTGCAGACATCAACTCGCGTCGACATTCCGAGTGAGTTGCCAACCCAATTTACGCGGACATTGAATAAATCAACGTCACCATCAAATAGAGAGGATTTAGATGTTGTTGCTGCTACTGCCGGTGTAGTCCTAAATGTTAAATGCCATTGCAGTAGGGCGGACGATGATTTGGAATTCAATTCTCAGGGTCTATATTGCATACACACCGTTCATTGTTATGAATTACCAATGAGATTTAAATTTTTGCCAAATTCGATAGCGGCTAGAGCCAACCAACTGGGCATGTCCGATGACAAATTTCTAGCTGATGAAAAACGCTGGTGGCCACCACCCATATTCATAATTTTCATATCACTATTAGAGGTAAGTAGTTTTGCAATAATTCTGTATGATAGTAATGTGTGTTGTCTTTTGGGGATATTCCCAATTGGAAAATATGTTTTTGATAAATAGCAAGTAGTCACTATAGAGCTTTAAATCTTTGAACATACATTGTTGATTCTCCTGGGATTTTTGGTATTCAACCGAATTGGCTGTAATTTTGTATTTTACACTCGCTTTAGGATTGGACCCATATAACTGTACCTCCAAAATTTCGGCATCTATATGGTACCCTTTGTACTAGGCGAACGGGAAGAGCTAGAATTTTGAAGTTTGGAATGTGGGTCACTGATGGAAAGTTAGAAAGATGTACGAAAGGGTTTTTGGAAATTCGACCTATAAGTCTATAGAAATGGTTTAAGATTTTCGTACTTATGTTTTTTAAAAAGTACTAAATGGTACTATTTGCATTTAGTTGAATGCATATAGATGGAATCCTGAAAATCGGAATTAGGACTACTGTTGAATACAGAATTGAGGTAGCTTTAAAAAATCGTACCTTTGTGTACGAAAAGTACCTAAAGTACCAAATTTGGTTCAAGTTGGATTTCGGTTCACATATAGAGCTGGAGTCTTGAAATTAGGAATTAAAATGACAGTTGCAGTATAGAATTGAGGTAGTTTTGGAAATTCCCACTTATTGGTACGAAAAGTACTAAATTGTACTAAATATAGTACAATGTGAATTTTGCTCAAACGGACGAGCTTAAAACCTGAAATTTGGAATTCTGATTACTGTTGAAGATTCAGCTATAGAGACATTTGTGGAAATTCGTATTTGTGTGTACGAAAAGTACTAAACGGCATTAGATATGGTACAATTTGGATTTGGGTGAACGGAGAGAGCTGGAAACCTAAAATTTGGAATAATGGTTGCTTTTAGAATATAGAATTAAGGTATGGAAGCATAGTACGTATGTGTACTAAATGGAACTATATTTGGTACAACTTGATTAAGTGGATAGAGTTGGACTCCAGAATTTTGGAATTAAAATTACTTTTGAAGTGTAGGATTGACGTAGCTTAATTATAGAAACAAAAAGTACTAAATGGTACCAATGGATAGGGTTGAGATCCTGAAAATTTGATTAAATTAATATTACTGTTGGAGTGCAGGATTGAAATATGTCGGTAGTTTTGAAAATTTGTCATTTCGTGTACTAAATTTGGTACAGTTTAGATCAGAGTGAATGGATAGAGATGGAAAACTTAAATTTAGAATTCAAATCACAGAATTAAGGTAGTATTGGAATTTCGTACTCTTGGATACGAGAAGCACTAAATGGTACAAAAGGCGACCTGACTTAACGCCCAACGGACATAAAGCCCAAAATTGATTTTGGGCGTTATGTCTGCCCAAACCCCGGACATAACCCCCAAAATCAAATTGAGCGTTGTGTCCCCCCATGCTGCGGACATAATGCCCAAAAATAATAGGACATAACGCCAAACTTTTTTGGGCGTTATGTCCGCATACGAAATGGACATAACGCCCAAAAAATATTTTGGGTTTTTTTCAAAATTTAATGATTTAAATGTAATATTTTGGGAACTAGGTATGTTTTAATGCAGAACTGGTTTCAAAATAACGGTATATTAGCTATTAAGAATGAGTTGTAAAAGATCAGTGGTTGATGCGTAAAATAGCAATCATCATTCAGTTGTTTCCAAACTAGTGATAAGAATGGGTGAAATTGTTGTATTCGAGTTTGTTGTAGGCGCTCGCCGCAATTGTGAGTTAGTGTATACGCCGACGAAAAAACAATTGTACAATTTTAAAACTCAATACACAAATAAAAAAGGAGAGTGCATAAGGCGATACATTTGTTATCAAAATAATTGCAAAGCATTTCTTCAAGTTATTAACAGAGAAGTAGCAATTTCACCAAAAGAAAATAATGGACACTCTGACCATGGCGACCAGGAAAGCCTAATGAAACAATTTAAATTAAAAGCTGCAATAAAAGAAGGTGTTTCCAAACCGAGCTTGGTAGCAAACAAAGTTTGAGTTGTTTTTAACGCTGAATGCAGAAATGCTAAGGATAGTGCTGATCAAATTGTCTTTAACAAAATGCAGAGGCACTTGAGGCGGATAAAGAGCCAAGCTATGCCGAAATCTCCACAAACTCCTCAGGAATTTATAAACCTATTTGCCAAAAGCGAACACATGAAGCAATACGGCATGTGTGAGAGCGCGCCGGACGAACCATTTTATCAAACAACTATCCTGGAAACAGACTTTAGCTACACCCTATTCTGCTCCTTACCAATGACCAAATTAATTTCTACTATGGATGATGACTCTCGTCACTATCTTGTCGATGCGACATTTGCAGTTGTGCCATCAAGCGGTTACAAACAATTACTTCTTATATACATCGGGTATGAGCGCCACGTAAGTTGTTGAGTTAGATGTTATTATGTGTATAAAATGTATTCCTTATTTTAAATTAGAAATTGAGTAATGAATCAAGCCGAAAGATGTTGAGAGCTATTGATCAATAGTCATAGACGGTGGATTTATATAAGAAAATCGCGCGATTTCCATTATTGGCAAGCATTAAGAAGAAAATTAACCAACATCTCAGAATTGGCTAAATTTGTAAAAACCACTGATGCGGCAAGGCGAATTTTTAAAAAGATGCTTGTTTTACCACTGCTTCCTCAAGACGATATACCAACCGCATTCAATTTGTGCAAACAAGAAGCGTACGCATCCATGAACTGTTATTACAAATCAGAGAATGTATTTGAGAAATTCTTCGACTATTTTCAAAGACAATGGATAGATTTAGTGAGTACATACATATATATTCAGAAAATTTTAAATATGTATATATATATTTCCATAGGAAAGTCCCCTCAAATTTTCTGTCCATGGTGAATGCGTACGAACTACGAGCGCTGTGGAATCATATAACAGCTTTTTGTGTGCACAAATTCCAATGCATGGCTCATTCTGGGACTTTTTACAAATAATTAGACAGCAAGAGTTTCAGAAATATGTTGATCTGAAAGAGATTTTAGATGGCGTTTCGGAAATTTCACAACCACCAAAAAAACGAAATAGAGACCGCAATGAGCAAGTGAAAATTCTCACAGAGCAACTGGCAAATAAACAGATTACTCCCAAAATGTTCCTCCAGATGATGACCAATAAAATAAATAATCTCGCCCCAGTAGTTTTGGACCGAACACCTATTGATGAAAGCGAAACTGAGGATGAAAGTCAACCTATCATTCAGGATGGGTTGTTATGTGAAATATGTTTTAAAAACAAAAAATGTATGCTTCTGCTTCCATGCAGGCATGCAAAACTTTGTAAACCTTGTTTTGAAGGAATACAAGATAAACATAATAATCAAGGTACTTTAATATTATGTCCATTCTGTAGACAAATTGTGGGTCAAACACAAGAAATTTATATTTGATTTGAATAAACTTCTAATTTCTACAATTGAACTGCAAAAATGTTACTTTAAATAAAAACGGACATAACGCCCAGTGAGCATTATGTCCACGGCATTGGGGGACATAATGCCCAATTTCATTTTGTGGTTTATGTCCGGGGTTTGGGCGGACATAACGCCCAAAATCAATTTTTGGCTTTATGTCCGTTGGGCGTTAAGTCAGGTCGCCGGTACAAAATAGGGTACAATTCGTTTTGTGTGAGCGGAAATCCTAAAATTAGGAATCAAAATTAAGGGTGGAGTGTAGGATTGAGATATGGAGGTAGTTTTGAAAATGCATGATTATGTGTACTAAATGGTACTAAGTTTAGTACAATTTGGATTTAAATGAAAGGATAGAGGTAGAAATAGAAAACTTATATTTGAAAATCATATTACTGTTAGAGTACAGGATTGAGACAGTGTTGAAAATTCAAACTTAAAGTACGAAAAGTACTAAATGGTACTAAATATGCTACAATTTGGATTTATGTGAACGGATAGGGCCGGGATCCTGAAATGTATGATTAAAATTACTGTTGGAGTGTGGTGAACGGATAGAGCTGGAATCCTTAAATGTGGACTAAAGGTTATTATTGGAGAACATTACTGGGGTAGTTTTGGAAATTCGTACTTATGGGTACGAAAAGCACAAAATTTGGTACAAATTGGACATTGGTGAACGGGCAGAATTCGAATCCCGAATGTTGCAACTTAGGTTACTGTGGGAGTGTAGATTTGACAAAGTTTGAAATATAGGTACGAAAAGTACAGAATGGTACCAAATCTGGTACAATTTGGTTTTTGATGAACAGACAGAGCTGGAATTCTATTGAAATTGGGAAAAATCTGTTCAAATTTAGATATAGTTCCCATATATATTTTAGTCCGATTTTAGGTAAATAGTGCAACAAACAACAAGGCACAGCGTGTTGAATTACGTCTAGAACGATGTGTGTTAAACATCGTAAAAATCGGTTCCGATTTAGATATAGCTCCCATATATAACTTCGTCCGATTTAATGTAAATGGTGTACCAAAGTCCCTATATATCCTTCGACTTTCACGAAATTTTGCATGGGGTACTTTACTACTTTCCTTACTGGTTTTAATCTGTTTAATGGAAGTAAGAGAGATTTCGGAAAATAGTGCTTATGTGTATGAAGAGTACTAAATCGCAAACTATAGTACAACAAATTTACAGTATTTACGATACCATATGAAATATTTTTTGTATTCCCTTTCCGCATACGAAGTAGCGGGCACTTTGCTAGCATATATATATATATCTATATATATAAAAATGGAGCCAAAAAAATGTATACTAACTCATCAATTGAGAACGGCTGGGTCGATTTGACTCAAAGTTTCTTTCAGATGTCGGTAATTACAGTGGGAAGGTTTTTATGAATGAAAATTTTTACAAAAATCCGCGAAAATCTTGCAAAAATTATTTTAACAAAACGGCTGCACCGATTTGACTTGAAGTTTCTGTTAGTAGTCTGTAATTGAAGTGGAAAGTGGAAGGCGAAA